CACATGAATTACCATGTTTCAAAAACAGAAGCTAAAAACTTTATAGAATTAAATTAAATTAAATTCCCTCGTTCTGTTTCATTTTCAAGCGAATTTTGGAATAACTTATAATAAAAATAAAGATATTAATAAGAACACCGGATTACTGTTCTTTTCTCTTTATTATAATATATATATATATATATATATATATATATATATATATATATATATATATATAAAAAAAAGGCTTAAACACTAATATTTCATGGTCATAATTTATTCCATTGGAATCGTAAATACGATCCAATTCATCAGACCTACAAATTCAAAAAGAAAACAAAAAAACAACTCCGGAAATAAAAACAGAATTTAGAGAGAGAGTGTAAGTATGAGGAGGAGGAGATTAAACCTTAACAGAGAGAATTTTAGGAGAGTTGGGTGGAAGGGTTTAAGTAAGAGAAAAATGAATGTTGTCGGATGTCTAATGCATAAAGATAATATATATATATATATATATATATATATATATATATATATATATATATATATATATATATATATATATATATATATATATATTTATAAACCTTACCTACTCATGTTCGTTTATTAGACATTGAATTATATTACCTAATGTCCATTAATTTTCCTGACTTTGCCATTTACCTGATGAATATTCATCAGAACTCTTATGCCTAAAAACTTTTAGAAAACAATAACATTTTTGGTCTTGTATATAAATACTTGCCATAAAATAAAATCCTCACCATTGCCTTGATAAAGCCCCCCAAAGGACGAAAAATGTCGGCTAAGATAAATTTTACTTTTGTCTTTATTCACATTGTTCTTTTAGAGATATACTCTATCTGAAATTTTTACGCACGTGCGCGCGCACATACACACAAACACACACACATATAAGGGGCCATTGAAGTCAGCACTCATAAAAGTGAACTCAGCATTTATAAAAGTCGACATTGAAGTCGACACCAATATAAAAGTCGACAATGGTCAACTCTGCATACGCTCTATCCCCAATATTGAGCACTTTAACCCATAAATATAGCATAACTTAAAACAATACTTTATCATATATATATATATATACATATATATATATATGATCATATATATATATATATATATATATATATATATATATATAATATTACTCAGTGAATGCTAACCACTCATGCATGAGGGGTTAGTATTCTTGACTTTTGATATTTAATAGCTCTGCATTCATTTTTTCTTTTTATAATGTGTATTGAGTACTCATTTATATAACCGTTTTCTAACTTTTGCCGGAAAAACTGTTATATATATATATATATATATATATATATATATTTATATATGTAATAATTTATTCAAAAATTATAATATATATATATATATATATATATATATATATATATATATATATATATATATATATATATATATATATATATATATATATATATGATAAAGTTTGGTTAAAAAACAACGAAAGTTCTTTAAAGGCTTTTTTTTTTTTTTCATTCAGGACTATCTTTCTTTTTCCGGTGAAAATTTGAACATTAAATTATCCAGTTTCTGAGTAATTTCTTTTTTCATAAGTCATTACCCAAGAGTTTTTGTACTCAGCCATTTACATCGTTTTTCAAGTATCGCGTCTTCACATGTCGATTTTTTATTTTTTTACATGACCGTTCGTACTGCTATCTGTTTTTCTTTAGTCGTGAAATATACTAAGTATATATATTTCGAATATATATATATATATTTCGAAATTTGATATCTTATTGATGTATTGTTTTTTCTAGGGTTAATGCTTCTCGTATCTCTAGTTGTTTTTTTTTTATAATTTATGTGATATTCTATTATTTTTTATTGGTAAGGTTTTGTCAGATTCCTTGTGTATTTTTTGTTGTGTTGGTTGATGATATCTGATTTAATTGAACTACTATCGGATAAATGTCACGTTAATCTTCGCGACAACGTAGTTGTTGTGTAGCCAATATGTACATTTTTTTAAAATCATAATTGCATGTATTAGCTTAATTTGACCAATGGCCAAAAATGAATAAAATGAGATTGTCTTTAGTTTCTTCAAATTTGGAAATGCTCGCTTTCTTTACAAATCACCGTTCGAAACACCGGCTTTTATTTGAACTGGGACAAATAAACAATTACAAGAATCGCCAAAAATGACTATTAACTTTAGGTATCTTACTTTGGAGCAAGATGACATTGAAAGTAGAAGATAATGGATGATGTGTCAGTTAAGCAAAAAAAGATGGCCATTATTCGGTGAGAATCGGTATTCATTATCATAACTTTATGCGTAATCATAATCATAACTTTATGCGTAATCATAATCATAACTTTATGCGTAGTTTCGAATAAAGATTGTTGGTGCTGGAAAAAAAAGAACAAAACTACATCGACCACAAAGCAGCACTTCCGTTCTGTTTTTGATATCATATACACATTAGAACTTGAAATCATATTTTTAACATAGGCTCGAACCCTGAATGGTGGCGTCCTGGGTAAGACGATAAACTACATCCAGCAGCAAGGCCTTTGATCAGGAGGTTTTGAGGAAGAGGAACCACCTCTTAATTACTGGTGTTCCCAGGTCCACCCTGACTCAGGGTGGTAGCACCTGTTAGGGTCCCAGCTATGGGCAAATAGTTAACTATTACCAGCAATACTTTTTTGAAAAAGATTATTACCAGAAATACAATTTTGAAAAAAGATTTTTGACAAAACAAAATATTACCAGCAATAAAAAATGTTTTCGGCATTAAATAACCCATTGAGGTTGATATGCCGTAAAACAAAATAAACGAAACCAAACCTGAATGGTGGCTTGGTTTGAAAAGGTAAAAATATTTCACTGTAGAGTTTTCTTTTGTCGTGTTTATTGTTGCAGAGGGCATTAAAGTGATATGTGTATTATTGCAAGTCTGCTCTCTTATAATATTGGGAGCCGTCGGTGGTTGTGCTAGCACGAAGTCATAAGTCATCGTGGCAGAGGGTTTCAGCATATTGGTCTTGTTCAGATATTATTATAGTTGCAGCTACAGAGTGGTTCCACAGCATAAAAACTAACATAATTGCCAATTTATACAATTAGATATAAAAGAATTCTACCCGTCTATAAGAGAACCCATCCTAGATAAGGCCATCCCTTGAGCCCAGGAACAAATAAAAATAAACACAAACGCAATCCATATCATTAAACACTCCCGTAAATCACTACTATTCAACAATGAAGACGCATGGATAAAGAAAAAAAAAGATTTTTGACACTACAATGGGAAACTTTAAGTCCTTCGAAATCATGGGTATATATTTACTACACGAACTAAGGAAAATAATACATAGAAATGATACAGCACTATACAGGGATGATGGTCTGATAATCTTAAGAAACTACAACAAACAAAATAAAAACAAAACTAGAAGTGCAATATTTAAAAAAATAATGGATTCGACATAGATATAAAAACTAACCTAAACGGAGTAGATTTTCTAGATGTTATCTTCAACCTAAGAAAAGGTACATATAAAGCATACAGAAAACCCAATGATAAACCACTCTATATACACAAATCTTCCAATCACCCACCTATAATCAAACAGATACCAAAATCGATTAACCGCAGACTTTCCGACAATTCTACGATGAAACCATATTTAACGAAGCTAAGAAAGATTACGAAACGGCCCTAAAAGATAGTGGATTCCCGGCAACACTCACATGCACTACACAGGACAAAAAAGGCCAACAGGATGAGAAATATCATATGGTTCAACTCACCGTACAACAAAAACGTAAAAACAAACATAGGAAAAATATTCTTCAAACTCTTACATAAACACTGGAATCAAGCACTCTCCACAAAATATTCAACAAAAACACAGTAAAAATCAGCTACACTTGCACAAACAATAAAAGCATAATAACAAAAAAGTATAACAGGAAAACTTGCTAAGGCCATAAATTCAGTGCTGAATATTGACAACTAGATATCTGCTACGAGCAGTATATAGGGAGAATTTCAGATCGAATTTCAGTTGATAACGGCGTTTTAGGCTATAGACTTATCGATCCACTCCTATTTGTAATGTTTAATATACAAATACGTCGATTGTGTGGTTGATTGATTGATAAATAAGGTAGACAGAAAACGTATGCAAGAAAAGATTGACAAGATTTGAATCGAATGAAAAGCGGCAAATATTAAGAATTCATTAGAAGTTTTGTCCCTCTCAGATAACACATCCTCGCCGTATCAAAAGCTGAAATTCTAGTCAACACGTGAAGATAAAGAAACCTTGTTATTCAATATTTTCCTGTCGCAGATGGATTTGTCAAGCGTCTACAAAGTCAGATAACTCGTTAATGGGCTCTTAGTATGATGCAATCAATCTGGCAATAACATTAGTCAAATTTCGAAGATAGGATACCAGTTAGTCGGGACAAATGTATTGTTGCCTAACTGGTTTGTATAGTATTAATACGTACCTAATTTAATATAGACTGTATGGTTATCCAGTGAAAATGAGTCTCACTAGACAACCGAATGGGCTGCTGAGTCTAACTTCCATTTATTGCTCGATAGCCTTATAATAATTATATTTAGATAGTGTGTTGTTAGACGATACACACTTCATAAGCTTTGGAATTATTATACAAGTAAATGGTCTGACTATATATTCTTTACAATAAGCTTAGCATAGTTTAGTCCAGTGGTTTCCAAACTGTGTGGCGCGCCTCATAGGTACGGCGGAAGAGGATAGCAGGTGAGGCGGAAGAGGATAGCAGGTGAGGCGGAATGATTGAAAGACAATCAAAAATTTAGAAACAGTCTCAAAAAATTCAAAATGCCCAAAATAAATATGATTTCCAAATTTTCATCCCTTTCCCAAGGATATTTGTTCGTAAGTGAATATAATGAACCGAACTCGGCTCTCTGATCAACAATTTCGAGTCATTATTTATTACACCACCCGCACATCCAAGTTTACAACAGCTGGTATTGCCAAGCGGTCACCTCTCTAGGTACTGACTAGCTGCCATGCTTAACTTCGGTGATCGTACGGGAACCAATGTTTCATCGTGATATGGCCGTAAGCCTTGTTAAAAAGATGGATTGAAATTAATATCATAGAAGCTTACAACATGATGATTGTTCGTTAATAATGTTGCGAAGAGTGGAATTAGAGTATATGGAAATTTTATTCTTTGCTTTCTTGCAATTACAGTTCGTAAGAGAGAAGTTTCGAATGCACTTTTTCTGGTGATATATAGTCGAAGTAACTGACTGGAAAACACCAGTTTACTCACCAAGTGTCAAGGTAGAAGACATTAAAATGTCTTCAAGAATCGTTCAAATATGAAAAAAAAAAACCCAGCTTAAAACTACAATGCTGTTCGATAAAAGTGACTCACCTGATTTTTTTACTAAAAATATTTTTGTCTTGTTTTTAGGGTTAAAATAATTTTTAATCTTACTAATATAAAGACCCCTTCCCGACCACGTAGGAAAAAAGTTTATTCACACTAAGGTAATCTTCAGCTGTTGTGAAGCACTTCATTGTCTTGTTGCATAAGCTCATATCAAGACATTTTTAACTAACGCTGATGTGTGTTCCCTCAAGTAAGGCCCCATATCTTGAACGCTTATTGGGACATCATCTCATCCCTGACCCAAATAGGTACTACATATATACGATCCATCATTAAAGGTGCTGGGAAAAATGGCTGGTACCGTGTACCATTCCATTTCATACTTGAATCCCCTTGGTATGCTCTACCTTTACAAAAGTCAGATGAGACCCCAAAAGAGTACTGTTGCCGTATCTGGATCGGAGCTGCCCAGTTCACACTTTCTAGTTCATAAGCATCTACGGGATCTTGTGGGTGATGAATTATTTTCTACGCTACAAACCCTTTCCCACGGGTGCAGCGTCGCAAGTCTCTCACTCCCCATATCGGTATTTCCATGGAAAATGTTCTAACGAGATACATCCCTAAGTTCTATCAGCAATAAACCTCACAGCTAAGACTCGACTTACCATGAACACTGTGGCAAACCATCCTTATTTCTTTTCGAATTCCACTAGTAAGAAAGAAGTTTCACTTGACCAGTTGTTTCCCCATAACCGGTATTTTGTAGAACCGAATCCCAAGATAATGCTTTCCCGACGATAGTAACCTTATCTTCTTCAAGACCGGGGTTAACCGTTATCTTTCTCACATATCCTCGTAAACTGGACCTTTTACCTCTAACTTTTAACTTTCATACAAGAACCTCCTTCAGTGACCTTGGGTGGCTCTTGGGTGAACAATAGTAAAACAAATGCTATAATCTAAAGATTTGTCGTACTCCAAAGAAGATAGATAAGCTTCAGGGATCCTGGAACGATAATAAGCACTGCTCGCAGACCAGTTTTCTTATTTAGTGAGTTGACTCTACACAGCATTTAGCTGATTGAAGTAAACCTGTAAAATATTTATGACATTAAGAAAATGATACATTGGTCAAGTTAATTTCATTTTATTCTTTTTCTTAAAATACTTCCACCTTTATACCATGTTAGGATGCGTGAGTGGCTGTTTGAGAGTTTCTAGAGTTACCATCTGTAAACATACACAAACATACACACACCCGCATATATATATATATATATATATATATATATATATATATATATATATATATATATAATTATTTAATTGATTTAAAATATGTTTTCCGCTACACAGTTCTAACCATGTTTCAAAAACGGAAGCTAAAAATACGAATTTAATTTTGCAATTAAATTAAAGACATTAGTTCCATTTCATCCTCAAGCGAATTTTGGAGTAACTTTTTAAATTACTGGGTTTTAAAAGACACAGCTAAAATCACGTTTCCATGGTTACAGATAAATCTACTTCAACTGGACAAGGGGGTGTCTGGGTTTTCCTTATGTTTGCATCATTGTATCGGTTATTAGCTACATTTTGGTAAGGGATAGGGATGTATTTTTCAATGAGAACTGACATCCGTTGAATGCATGTCGTCTGGATTTTTTTAAATTTGTTAACGGCAAAAAAAAATTTTATTTTTTTTTTTTTTGTAAATTTAAAGATTTTCACGGTTTCAGATTAGAACACTTTTTATTTAACTACGATTTGAAATATTCTCATTTTTAATTTTTATTATACTATTTTTTTTTAAGAACAATTAAATGTATTAGAATCCCTTATAGTATGTAGGATTATTTTTACATCAAGTATAAGTATGTATATTAGGTTACATTTTTTATTTTATTCTATTTAAAAAAAATTTTTTTTTTATATTATTTAAGTAATATTTATGACAATGACGTCAAAAATAGTTACTTAATTTCACTGATTTAGTAAACTTTTATTTTTTTTATATATATAAACCTAGTAATATATTGTTTTTATATATATATATATATATATATATATATATATATATATATATATATATATATATGTGTGTGCGTAGACAGGTTGCGATGGAAAATTGTTGTCTAAATTATGCAAAATGAAAATGACACTGACATCTCATTTAAATTACACAAAAATATCTTGAAATACTAAAGATTAAATTTATTCAATAAAATCGTTACTAGTTTCAACCATGGCCTCCAGAGAACTTCGGAATCTCTTCAAACTCTTATGGGCGGTTTTTTGTTTAAGTTAGTGAATGCTGCCATAATCCTTGCTTTCAGTTCATTTTCGATGTTACAAGGAATTTTGTTGGTCTTTCGCTCAACTGCATCCCACCCATAATGATTAAGGAGGTTGCAGTCTGAGGAGTTACGTGGTCAAATGTAAGGGGTGATGTGGTCGTAGAAATTGTCTGACAGTCATGACTAGGTTCTCCTGTCTGTGTGGTATGGTACAGAGTCCTGTTGCCAGACACAGTGTCGTCCAGAAGCCACTCTCTTGACCCCCCTTCAAGGCACTTGATGTAGGCCTCCGTGTTGAGTCTGAGGCCTTGTAGGAAGATGAATGGCGACATAACGTCACAATTAATAGTGATCAATCCAAACACATTCATAATCACTATTAGACTCATCCAGATCTGTCCGAATCCTCTTCACTGTTCTCAGATTGACATCCAAACACTATGAAATGTTTGTATTGGAGCTTACCACAAGAATGCCAAACAGTACAGCATGCCGCTTCCAAATTTCTGTCAGAGTGAATTGTGTCATGGTGTTCTTTTCCTCACAGACTGTGTCCAACTAACTCTACTATACTGTGCAATCAACAAAATCAAAAAAAAAAAAATATATAAAATAGCGGCAATTTACCCATCGCATCATATATATATATATATATATATATATATATATCGTATTCGACGAATGAGGGTCAGCAACTCAGTTGGATAACTTCAGCCAGACACCAGCACGTATGATTTGATTATCGTGGCGAAGGCTTTGTGCAGAATCAACTATACTTTTTGGAGGGCCGAATACAGAGACCTGGTGCACTCCGTGCCACAAGGACCCCAAAGAACCATCTACAGGGTTTGAATTAAGAGTTGTCCTTCCCGTAGCCCAGTCTGTCCTGCTAATTAATTATACCTAGGGGGATTCATACTTTTCCAAAAGTAAATGTAATGGATTCAACTGGAATTCGAACTCGGCTCTCCGAAGTCCGAGCCGCTACCCACTACTCCACCGTGCCTATATCTATATAAGTGGAAAATCGTTTCGTCCTTTCGGACTGCATCGGACCATGTTTACGTTGATATAATGATAATATATAGAATAAATTATGATGTGATGTGACGTGATAATGATAATAATATATAGAATAAATTATGATGTGATGTGATATGATAATGATAATGATAATAATATATAGAATAAATTATGATGTGATGTGATAATGATAATAATATATAGAATAAATTATGATGTGATGTGATGTGATAATGATAAAAAAATATAAAATAAATTATGATGTGATGTGATGTGATAATGATAATAATATATAGAATAAATTATAATGTGATGTGATAATGATAATAATATAAAGAATAAATTATGATGTGATGTGATAATGATAATAATATATAGAATAAATTATGCTGTGATGTAATAATAATATGATAATAATATATAGAATAAATTATGATGTGATGTGATGTGATAATGATAAAAAATATAAAATAAATTATGATGTGATGTGATGTGATAATAATAATAAAATATAGAATGAATTATGATGTGATGTGATAATGATAAAAAATATAAAATAAATTATGATGTGATGTGATGTGATAATGATAATAAAATATAGAATAAATTATGATGTGATGTGATAATGATGATAATATATAGAATAAATTATGATGTGATGTGACGTGATAATGATAATAATATATAGAATAAATTATGATGTGATGTGATGTGATAATGATAATGATATATAGAATAAATTGTGATAGGATAATGATAATAATATATAGAATATATTAAAAATTCCTAAAACTTATTTTCCAATACTGACGGTTTTCAGTCACTCATACTGCCAAACAATCTTAACTTCCTATTAAAATAAACTTGCATAACCATTTTATGTAGTTGTCCCCAAACTTTTGCATGCCAGTGTAGCTATGGGTGGGTTTCAGGTTTGCTTCATTTCATATAATGTAATTACTTTTATAAAGTAATGGAATTTGGCCTTTCCTTCTAATAAAAAGAACACATACTTGTTTTTTTGTTGTTATTGCAATTCATAATACAGAATCTTTAAGAATAAAATTCTGCTTTACCGTCTCTATAGAAATGGTAAATCTCCGCGCTGGTAAAATTATTTCTACTATCTATGTATCTAAGTTGTGTCTTCTGTCTCTGATTATCTATCTATCTATCTATCTATCTATCTATCTATCTATCTATCTATCTGATAAATGTAATCGCTATTTCCATCTTGATTTGTTTCAGGTGTGAATGCTAAAGAGATGAACTGGAATTAATATCGCAAAACGGAAATTATACTGGCCAATATTATCCTGGAAAGAAGCATTTTAAACATCGATAAAGTGTTTAAAATTCTGCAGCTACAAACATACGCATGCGTGAAGGAGAAACACTTTG